TTTGCTCAATCTCTATAAGCCAGGGTGGCTGATAGCCACTCACCTGTGAATATGACTTGTTCCCAGATGAGCTCCTACTCTCCCTCCTATGAAAAGAGAAGGGAGCAGCCCCTCCCACGCTGCCCTCAGGGTTGTGTTCCAAAAGCTACCTGTGGAACTGTCTTATCTTCTCATCTGCCTTTTCAGGGGGCAGGCTGAGAGCAGCCCTCGTGTGCTATCTTTAGCACCCAGTAGCATCCTTTCTTAAAACGGGAAGCATGGAGGTGATATTCAGGAGATATTCTGATGGCAGAATGAAGGAACCATCTCCGGGAAATTGGGAGGGGGCACAAAAAAAGAGGAAGAGATACCGTTCCACAGGAAGTTTCACAGCACAACCATGTTCTCTTCCCTCCTTTCCCAAAAAGCAAAAACTCCAGCAAACACCAACGCTATCTAGCATGTAGCCCTAGAGCAGTGTTTGAAATTAGCCAGACACCAGGCACAGTTTGACGATTGGCCACTTGCAACCTATCTCCACCACCTGGAGGTGCATGCCTGGGGTCATTTAATCTTGACTTGTTTTCACACACCAATGCCACATCCTGTGGAATTCTATCAGTTACATTCTATCTGCACAATCAGAATGAATTTCAAGAACCAAAATGCTTCTTCTGTAGAGCCTGAGCAGGAGCAGTGAACAACATTACAGTTAACGGTTGTAGCTTGTTTTCCCTCACTCCACTCCACTGCTCTGTTCACAGTTGTGAATAATGTTCTTACATTAAGAATGCTCCATGTCACCATTAAGAAAAAGACATAGGAATATGCCAATATATATGTGGCAGTCACTGGATAAAGTTCTAAGTTCTTAACCTGGCTCAAGGGAGTCATCTGAACGAGCCAAATGTTTAACTGACAATTCATCACAGTCAGTCCATCATTTGAAAAATAAGATTTTAGAGCCGTATTGCCCCAAAACGCCAACCAGACATTCAGTTTTGGCAACTGCAACCCTGGTTTATGAAGTGATTTGGCCCCTAGCTTCTATCTCTGAGCTTCTAACACTGCCTTAGAGATGCTATACAACGTTTGGGGCTTCCAAGCGAGAAAGCATCTCCTGACTCCTTCCGTATTCTTCATACTAAGAAAGGAGGAAGGACTCAGGAGGTGCTCTCTCACTTGGCAGAGAAACCTCCTGGAAGCAGTTTGAGGGGCTCTCCTGCAGCGAAGAAGGCCCACGAGCAGAGGAACCCACACTTTTGGACATTGTCTCCCTATGGAGCAGGAAGGCCTTCGCTTCAGGCTCAACACAACCCAGCAGGCAAAACAAGGACGAGCACAGCCTGGCACTGTGCAAGGCAGCAGAATGCTCATGTTTGCAACCCCCTTTGGGACTCCCTTCTTGTTCCCTAGAAACAAACCCAAGGGGGGGAGGGAGTAGGGTACCAAGTGTGGGGATGTGGTCAGCAAAGGGAGAAGGGTGTTCTTCCTAAGTGAGCAGAGCAAGGGATGGCCAATTATCCCGTAACACTGAATTTCCAAGGCTGCTGTGATCCGCTGTTCCCATTCTTCCACACACACACCCCAACACTGTTGTTTGCCTGCCTCCAAGTGAGCCTGGGGTTTACAAGGGGGGAATATAGGCAGCCAGTGGCATAAAATGAATAAATGAAGACTTTTGCACCAAAAAAAGTAGAATTCAGCAACCCTGTCCCTACTGGGTGTCTACACACTTTCAAGCATGTCCTTGCAACCTATGGCAACGGTTAGCAACGCGTAAAAGAAAGCTGAGATGCTCAGACAGCTGAATTCTGTGCCAATAGTGGCATTCCTGCGGTACCTTTGGTGTCATGTTGTTGGCAATGCAGAAGGCCAGATGTTGCAGGATGCTCTCCATGGTATGGTAGTGCTGCTGCCTTGTAGTGCGGAGGTACTTCTGCAGCACTCTTGCCATGGATGGGAAGATGGCTTGAGCTGCCTCGCGGGGATCCATCACGTCACCCGGGGCTTTCGGCTGCTCCTCTGTCTGAAGGCGCTTAATGTGGGTGAAAGCTTCTTCAACTGCTACCACAAGCCTGCATGCCAAAGAACATGAACAGGGATTAACATTCAGGGTAAACTGAACTAAAGCAAGGTGGTCCAGCTTGCTTTGCATAATGTTCCCAACATTATAGGGGCTGCCCATCCACAGCGGTACTTTCATCTGATGCTTATCTGTACGGACAGCCAACCTCATCCAAATGATATGAAAAGTATATTTAATTGCACATAACATTCCAACACGACATGAGTAGGGAGGTCCAAGCAGGGTGGCCAGGTCCTCTCTGTTGTTGTCCCAGCCAGGGACAATTGCATGCAAAAGTTACGCATGCCCACTGATTCTGGCTGGCTCAAGTGCACCAAAGCTCTGTACAGGTTCATGCGGCAACTTCCCCTTCGCCTGAAGGGTGGAGAAGAGAGCAGACCCCTCGAAATTAGGGAGGGCGTGAGAGACTGCAGAGAGAGGAAAACTGCTAAGCCACACAGCAATCACGTCCCTGGGGTATTTGAGAAAAAGTGGCCTGTGAACACTTGAGGCCCCACCCTCCAGTCTTCATAATGGAGCTGTTTCCAGAGGAAGAACAGTGAAGGGGATGAAACTCTGTGCTGCCCACCAGGCAACGGCTTGTTCCACCTGCCTTGCCCCACCCTCCTGCCCTGGGAGCCTTCAGAATGGAGTTGCTGCTGTGGGCATTGTCTGTATGTGTCTTTCAATGAACTGCATGGAGTGGAAGATTGTAAGTCATGAGGTGGGGAAGTGTGTGTATGAAATCAACAGGGCCTTATTTATTTTTTGGTTGCTATTTTGTTAATGTTGTTTTATAGATTATGCAGTGAATCCTAAAATATAACTTTTGTTGTAATTGTGCTATTTACCGGTAGCTTTTTTAAAAGTTGTTTTGTGAATAGCGTTTGTAATTGGTTAACTGATGATTTGTCCATTATCGTATATGATTTCTGTATTATTTGTGATGTTGTATTATGTTATTTATTGCTTGTAAGCCAGTTTGCGATTCATGTGAATGAAAAATGGCATAGAAATATAATCAATCAATCAATCAATCAATCTAGCTCTGTGCCATCTACTTCACACTGTCTGGTAGCAGCTGCCTAAGTTAACAGAGAAATATCTTTCCCAGGTACCCACTGGGAAGCTGGGAACTGAATCTAGGACACGGACTCTGCCACTCTGGGCCTTTCCCTGTGGTGGTGGCCTGGCTGTGTGAGAGAGAAGAGGTCGAGTGCCAAGCATGGATACAACGGGGTTCTTTTCTCCACCTGCAAGAGTTCTAAGCAAAAACAGAGAATATTGTGGCTCTGTGATGAAAATTCCAGACTGATAATCGGGCAGCCCTGAAAACCCCCTGAATATCTTTAGGTCTGTGGTTTCCACAGCTGTTGCCTCCATTGGAGAAGACTGCAGCCAGGGTGGGCCCCTTCCCTTGCACTCCAGGCAGCTTGCTCGAGTGACTATGTTCAGCTCTCTTAATCTGCAGGGCAGGAACCTTTGCTAACCACCCCCTGGTTTTGTGCAGCTGAGCAAACAAACTCCGGACAGTGCCTAGCAAATGCAAGGAAGATCTGCAAGCAACCAGAGCTGGGTGCCGCAAGGAAACTGGGGGAAGGAAGGACAGCAGAACTCAAAGGAAGACTGTTAATCCTGTCCTCTTGTTCTTTGCAAAGACTTGCGTGCATATATGATGCTAAATAAAGAAGCAGCTCATTTTTTTCTTTTTACACCTTATCATAGTTAGAGGCGAATAATTAATTTCCCATCCCTTTTCATTATTTTTTTTAAGTGAAGGAAATTGCATTAGAACAGAAGTGCAGGGTGGGGGGGATTTGACCCTTCTCAGGGGACAGCAGGGAATGGTCATACCTCAGTGGCAGAGCATCTCATTTGCATGCAGGAGGTCCCATATTTGATCCCGGGCATCTCGGGGGGGGGGGGGCTGGGAATCCTGCATGAATCCCTGGAGAGCTGCTGCTGCTCAGTGCCAACTGTACAGAGCTAGATGGTCCAACTCTGTATACAGTAGCTTCCTATGTCCTTATGCATTTTCCTGGCTGAGCTGCCTCCTTGTTATTTGCTATTGAGCTCCTTCCCTGTGTGTGGCCACCCTGATCCCTACCTACAGCTGCTTTGGAAATAGTTCAAACGGTACACAATAATCTCCACCTCTCCTAGCTTGGCCTTCAGATCACAAAAAGGTAAACTGCAGTTCACATTTTTTTAAAGGGCGTTCATCCCAACCACTTTTATTTCAGCAGGAAAGCAGTGGCACAGATACCCAATCAAGACCCTGCGCCAGCAGCTTCCTGCCCCAACCCCTGCTATCTGCAGCCCTGGGCGGGCATTCTGGGAAACTGACCCAGGCTTCCTATTTAGATAGAGAGCATGACATTGGATTAGGGACCGGGCCCAACTGCCTTCCCTTCAATACAACAGCAGAAGTGTTATGCATGCTTTAAAAAGAACAAGGAGGTGTGATTAATGTCACGTGTAGTTTGGCCATAAGAATCCCATTACTAAATTTCCTGTGAAAGAATGAAGCCAGGAGTAAATCTTGTCAGCCTGACAGGTTGTAAATATAGAAGACTCCGAGATGACCGGAAGCTCCACTCAGAGAGATTAAAACAAAAACAAAAACCAGCAAGGGATCCCTTCAGGAAATCTCTGCGTGTAATTCATCTGGTCTTTCCCATTGTTTGGCCTCTGCTCGAATCTGCCCCGCCTAAACACATCATCAAATATTGTTTACTGATGAATTCAAACTCTCCGGGAAGGTTTTTAATATATATACTGTATGCTTATTTGAAGCCAGCAAAATACTGACTAGAGGGGGAGCTAGTTAATGGGTCTGAGAAGGAATGTCAGTTGCTGATAGTCAGTAAATGTTCGGCAGGGTTTGGCACTGAAAACAGCACAGCGGTGGAGGACTGGGCCAAGCCCTTCTCCTCCCCTACGCAGATGGCCTCCAGCATAAACTCTTGACACAAGGGCACAGTCCCAGCTCACACCATTAACTGAACTGGAAAAAGACTGTGGGGGGGTGGCTTGCTACATACATATTGTCAGTGTGGCAAAGGGTGGGCTCTGCTTCATTATCCTCTGCAGGCAATATCTTTGTCACCCTGGCTGAGCGTATAAACTGAGGCATAAACTAAAGACGGATCAAGATATTCTCGCTCCGTTACCTCCCTGGTTGCAATGATGTTCTATTTCCAAGAAGCAAGTGACTCAGCTCCATGATACCAGGCAGCTGTATGAAGCAACGGCTGAGAGAACAGGATCCGCCCAATCCCAGTTCTCTTTGGCACAAATGTTGAAGTTTAATGCTTTGGCACCAATTTGAAGCACTAAAGGCTCCTCTGTGAATGCCCTCCTGCTCTAGAATCCCCAACCTTTTCACTTCCCAGCCCCCCTTTTCTGTTTGCACAATGCACATGGTTAAATATATATTCTTGTGATAGAAAATAATTTCACCATCAGGGAGCTTCATAGTATGCATCTCAAGGCAGATCCTGCCTTTTAAAGAACAACCTGAGCTTGGCAATCACAGGATTTCATTTCTGGAGCCTCTGTGGATGAGAGGGACCCCAAGTTCCTTGTGGCATTGTAGTACTTGGTACTGTGGTACTTGGACTCTGCGTTTTGTGAGTGAATGACATGTATGCAGCAAAGACAGGTTGGTTATCACAAACAACTGAAGAACACTTAACGCTCTGCGACCGCTTTGTGTTCAAAGTGCTGTGAACGCATTACTGTGTTGTAAGCCTTATAAAAACCCATGTAGTCGACCTCAGAAGTCGAATGCCTTGCGAGTCAAACGTTTTGCCTCCCAAACGCCGCAAACCCAGAAGTGAGTGTTCCGGTCTGCAACATTCTTTAGAACCCCAAAGTCTGATGCAGCTTCCGGAGCTTCCTGCAGCCAATGGGAGTTATGCCTTGGTTTCTGAACGTTTTGGAAGTCGAGCGGACTTCCAGAATGGATTCCGTCCGACTTCTGAGGTGCAACTGTAGTAGACTAGGGTAAGGTCTAAGAGGGACAGCCTGAGGCCATCCAGTTAGAGGCAGACCTGACAGTTAAACATAGCTCCACTCTTTCAGCCAAGAGCTTTCACACAAGCTCTTAGCAAGGTTGAATGTGCTGCTAGAAACACCTGAATAGCTGCAGGAAGGGGCAGTGAGCACGTCAAAAAATGGGAAGGATTTACTGTAAGTAAGACACACAGTACTTGTGATCAGCCAGGCCAAACACAGCCCATTAGCTGTGATTTAAGTCCTTGGTGGGCCACTAGACACTTCCGAGTGTTGCTGCTTGTCCTGGATTGCAAAAAGCAGGAGGGTTAACAAGTACATGGCAAACTGCAATAGCATCAACCTGCCTGCGTTGGCTAATGAGGTTGTCAGACAAGCCCCCAGAGAGAAATCTGAATGCTGTGGGAAGATAGCATGATGAGGACAGCCCACCCCACTACCTCCACTTTAGCTAGGAACTATGTCTAACCCCAACCCTGTTCCATCCCTCCGTTCTTGCTTTGCAGCACATTGGCTACATCTTGGAGATGTACCGGAGAAGTTGTGAGTCCAGTCCGCAAGGAAAGACATTCCTTTTTGCCTAAGCCTGGGAAACTCGGGTGTGTGTTGTCATTTCCCAATCCAGCCAGCTGTGCTGAGCCATGCACTCCACTCTAGTCTCAGTTGCCTCTCTGGACATGCAATGGCTTTTGCCATTTCATCTTGCTTGGCACCGGTCTCTCTCATTTCTCTTCCCCAGTTAAGGGCGCAGCACACATCTATTGAGATGGGTGTAAGTGCTTTGAGCATAGCACACCAATCCTGGCCCGACTGCACTAGCTACCAATTAGCTTCCAGGCCCAATTCAAAGGGCTGATTTTGACCTATAAAAGCCTTGAATGGCTCAGGACTGCAATTCCTCAAGGACTGCTTCTCCCCATATAAACCATCCCGGACTCTGCATTCATCATCCGAGGCCCTTCTTTGTGTGTGTCTTCCATGTGAGGTTTGGAGGGTGGCAACATGAGAACAGGCCTTTTCTGTAGTGGCTCCCCATTTGTGGAACGCTCTCCTCAGGAGGGTTCGCCTCCTTCATTATATATATTTTAGGTGCCAGGCAAAAGCGTTCCTATCCAACCAGGCCTTTAGCTGATTAATATTCTACAGCCTTTTAAATGTATCTGTGGGAAGGGGGAAGGCGTTATTGCTTTGTTGCAATTATTTACTTGAGTTTTATCTTGTATTTTCTTCTGTGAACCGCCCTGAGATCTTTTGATGAAGGAAGGTATAAAAATATAATAAATAAATAGGAACTCTGTATCATCCCCACTCCCAGAGTAAGGAAGAATTGTATCATCTCCCGTGGTTGGCCTGCAGATAAAATTCTTGCCTTGCTCGACGTTTTCGGACCCTGCGCTCGTGGTCTGCTTCTTCGTAATAGAGCTCATTGTGACTGGAGTCTCTGCGGTGCGCTGCAGCAGCAATCATGGCCCTCGACTGCCCAGCTTCACTGTTATCTGGCCCTTGAAAGAGAGCAGAAAGACTGAGAATTAAGAAAGAAAAGCATTTTAAAAAGAAGAATCCATCTTTGCCCGTCAGCTTGCCAACAACGGTGATAACCTAACACCACCTTTCATTTCCCCCCTTATTCCTAAATGGAAAAATACTTTCTGACCACAAATATTCCCTTGGGGTACAGCTGTGCTGTAAAGGGATGGTTTTTCCCTGATGTACTGAAATCAGCGGAACAAAATGTAAACCGGGAAAGGGAACTTAAGATGTAACCTCCGTATAACCAACTTTTACAGAAAGATACAGCAGTAACACAGAACCGGAACTGGGTGAATACACTTAGACAGAGGACACATACACCAAAGATGCTACTTACCATCTGCTAAATGCATTTTCAGTTTGGCCACAAGGGCGGCTGGAGCACATGGCAATTCAGCGACAAGAAAGAGGGAGTGTGAAAGGGGAAATGGGAGGGAGGGAGGGAGAGATTCAAAAGGAAAAAACAAAGACAGAAAATAAGAACATCAAGTGACATGAGACGGACAAAAAACAAAGCGAAGCAGTGCCAGACAAAATAAAAAAAACTTCTCAAAACTGGTGAAAGATTTTTTAGGCAGAAACAGGCACAGTTAAGCAAGATGGCGCCTACCAGACGAGCAGGACATGGGATGCTGCCCTAGGCCCCTGGCTTTTTCTACTTGTCTGCTCCAACCTTCAATGGCTCTCCAAGGACCATTCCAAGCCTTGGAATCCTTTTTCTTTTTAATGCCAGGGCCTGAACCCAAGATACTCTGTATGCAAGGAATGTGCTGTCCAGCTCTCTGGGGAGGGCTATGGTCCCCCCCTAAATGTGTCCAGGTCTCCCATCACATCTATAGTTTGGCTCTCATCCTAAATAGGGAAGGGGGGGTTACAAGCTGTTTTTGTCCTGGGAGCTTTCACATCTCCCCATTGGGGGTGGGGGAGGTGATAGGAGGGACAGACCCCTTTTGAGAGCGAGCTCTGGTTGGTATGCACCAATTAGTTTGGATGGACAGGTCATAGTGGAGAGTTCCAAGATGGACAGGTCATAGTGGAGAGTTTTGACCAAACGTGATCCACCTGGAGCAGGAACTGGCAAGCCACTCCAGTATCCCTGCCAAGAAAACTCCATGGACAAAGACAACAGGCATATAAAAGTTATGACGCTGGAAGATGAGCCCCTCAGGTCGGAAGGTGTCCAACATGCTACTGGGGAAGAGCGGAGGACAAGTACAAGTAGATCCAGAGCTGATGAAGCGGCTGGGCCAAAGCCGAAAGGACGCTCAGTTGCGGATATGCCTGGAAGCGAAAGGAAAGTCCAATGCTGTAAAGAAAAATATTGCATAGGAACCTGGAATGTAAGAACCATGGTTGGATAGTGTTCTCGAAGCTACAAACATGAGCCTGACCAAACTGCGGGAGGCAGTGGAAGACAGGAGTGCCTGGCGTGCTCTGGTCCATGGGGTCACGAAGAGTCGGACACGACTAAACGACTAAACAACAACAATTAGTTTGGAAGCAAAATGGGCCCACCCCAAAATAAGATCATGTTTTCCATGTACTGAGAAGGCTCCCTGGCCATACAGAAGAAGGAGGGCTTTTTGCGACAGTACTCAATGGTACAGAGTACTGACACCTCTTCTTTTGCTGCCCGTGGCAGCCATTTTGTGCCGGCACCCACAGAATGTTTATCATTATATGAGCACCATCATCTCATTTTTAACAAAAGAAGCAATGTGCAGAAGTACATAAAAAGTAGATGTTCTGTAAACTAAAAGAACAGTATGCTTTTCAAAGGTCAAAATGGCCGTGTGAGTTTCCTTGACTAGCAAACTGCTGAGGGCAGAGATGTAAGAAATGAACTCATCTCATTAATCTGGAGAAAGTACTTCTGGGCTCATACTGAATGCCAAAGACAAGAACTGTTGTTGGGGTGGAGAGAGAAGCATGTTGCTTCCTAATCACAGCTAGGCAAGAGTCCTGGATTTGCCCAGTTTTTTATGGGAGTGTCTCATTTTCACTCCAGTGAGAAGGGGGAAAGAGGTCAAAGCTGTGTTGGCTAACCGTTCGAGGACCCCACTGACCATGCATCCAAGGTCTGCATGCCAGCGGTGGGTGTGACCAGCACACACTCACCACCCATATGCTCAGGCAGATGTCCACACATTCACTTCCACGCAGCAGGCGCAGGGGATGAACAGACAGGAAGGCAAGAAGGCAGGCAGAGACATTGTTGTTGTTGTTGTTTAGTCGTTTAGTCGTGTCCGACTCTTCGTGACCCCCTGGACCAGAGCACGCCAGGCACCTCTGTCCTCCACTACTTCCCGCAGTTTGGTCAGACTCATGCTGGTAACCTCGAAAACACTATCCAACCATCTCGTCCTCTGTCGCCCCCTTCTCCTTGTGCCCTCCATCTTTCCCATCATCAGTGTCTTCTCCAGGGAGTCTTCTCTTCTCATGAGGTGGCCAAAGTACTGGAGCCTCAGCTTCACGATCTGTCCTTCCAGTGAGCACTCAGGGCTGATTTCCTTAAGAATGGATGCGTTTGATCTTCTTGCAGTCCATGGGACTCTCAAGAGTCTTCTCCAGCACCATAATTCAAAAGCATCAATTCTTCGGCGATCAGCCTTCTTGATGGTCCAGCTCTCACTTCCATACATCACTACTGGGAAAACCATGGCTTTAACTATACGGACCTTTGTTGCCAAGGTGACGTCTCTACTTCTCAAGATGCTGTCTAGGCCTGTCATTGCCCTTCTCCCAAGAAGGAGGCGTCTTTTAATTTCGTGGCTGCTGTCACCATCTGCAGTGATCATGGAGCCCAAGAAAGTAAAATCTCTCACTGCCTCCATTTCTTCCCCTTCTATTTGCCAGGAGGTGATGGGACCAGTGGCCATGATCTTCGTTTTTTTGATGTTGAGCTTCAGACCATATTTTGCGCTCTCCTCTTTCACCCTCATTAAAAGGTTCTTTAATTCCTCCTCACTTTCTGCCATCAAGGTTGTGTCATCTGCATATCTGAGGTTGTTGATATTTCTTCCGGCAATCTTAATTCCAGCTTGGGATTCATCCAGCCCAGCCTTTCGCATGATGTATTCTGCATATAAATTAAATAAGCAGGGAGACAAAATACAGCCTTGTCGTACTCCTTTCCCAATTTTGAACCAATCAGTTGTTCCATATCCAGTTCTAACTGTAGCTTCTTGTCCCACATAGAGATTTCTCAGGAGACAGATGAGGTGATCAGGCACTCCCATTTCTTTAAGAACTTGCCATAGTTTGCTGTGGTCGACACAGTCAAAGGCTTTTGCATAGTCAATGAAGCAGAAGTAGATGTCTTTCTGGAACTCTCTAGCTTTCTCCATAATCCAGCGCATGTTTGCAATTTGGTCTCTGGTTCCTCTGCCTCTTCTAAATCCAGCTTGCACTTCTGGGAGTTCTCGATCCACATACTGCTTAAGCCTTCCTTGTAGAATTTTAAGCATAACCTTGCTAGCGTGTGAAATGAGTGCAATTGTGCGGTAGTTGGAGCATTCTTTGGCACTACCCTTCTTTGGGATTGGGATGTAGACTGATCTTCTCCAATCTTCTGGCCACTGCTGAGTTTTCCAAATTTGCTGGCATATTGAGTGTAGCACCTTAACAGCATCATCTTTTAAAATTTTAAATAGTTCAGCTGGAATACCATCACTTCCACTGGCCTTGTTATTTGCAGTGCTTTCTAAGGCCCATTTGACTTCACTCTCCAGGATGTCTGGCTCAAGGTCAGCAACCACACTACCTGGGGTGTACGAGACATCCATTTCTTTCTGGTATAATTCTTCTGTGTATTCTTGCCACCTCTTCTTGATGTCTTCTGCTTCTGTTAGGTCCTTACCACTTTTGTCTTTTATTATGGTAATCTTTGTACGAAATGTTCCTTTCATATCTCCAATTTTCTTGAACAGATCTCTGGTTCTTCCCATTCTGTTGTTTTCCTCTATTTCTTTGCATTGCTCGTTTAAGAAGGCCTTCTTGTCTCTCCTTGCTATTCTTTGGAAATCTGCATTCAATTTCCTGTATCTTTCACTATCTCCCTCGCATTTTGCTTGCCTTCTCTCCTCCACTATTTGTAAGGCCTCGTTGGACAGCCACTTTGCTTTCTTGCATTTCCTTTTCATTGGGATGGTTTTCGTTGCTGCCTCCTGTACAATGTTACGAGCCTCCATCCATAGTTCTTCAGGCACTCTGTCCACCAAATCTAAATCCTTAAACCTGTTCCTCACTTCCACTGTGTATTCATAAGGGATTTGACTTAGATTGTATCTTACCGGCCCAGTGGTTTTTCCTACTTTCTTCAGTTTAAGCTTGAATTTTGCTATAAGAAGCTGATGATCTGAGCCACAGTCAGCTCCAGGTCTTGTTTTTGCTGACTGTATAGAGCTTCTCCATCTTTGGCTGCAGAGAATATAATCAATCTGATTTCGATGCTGCCCATCTGGTGATGTCCATGTGTAGAGTCGTCTCTTGTGTTGTTGGAAAAGCGTGTTTGTGATGACCAGCTTGTTCTCTTGACAGAACTCTATTAGCCTTTGCCCTGCTTCGTTTTGATCTCCAAGGCCAAACTTGCCAGTTGTTCCTTTTATCTCTTGCCTCCCTACTTTAGCATTCCAATCCCCTATAATGAGAAGAACATCCTTCTTTGGTGTCACTTCTATAAGGTGTTGTAAGTCTTCATAGAATTGGTCAATTTCAGTTTCTTCAGCACCAGTAGTTGGTGCATAAACTTGGATTACTGTGATGTTAAAAGGTCTGCCTTGGATTCGTATCGAGATCATTCTATCATTTTTGAGATTGCATCCCAGTACAGCTTTCGCCACTCTTTTGTTGACTATGAGGGCCACTCCATTTCTTTTATGGGTTTCTTGCCCACAGTAGTAGATGTGATGGTCATCCGAACTGAATTCGCCCATTCCCGTCCATTTTAGTTCACTGATGCCCAGGATGTCAATATTTATTCTTGCCATCTCATTTTTGACCACCTCCAACTTACCCAGGTTCATGGTTCTTACATTCCAGGTTCCTATGCAATATTTTTCTTTACAGCATTGGACTTTCCTTTCGCTTCCAGACACTCAGCAGAGTGGCGGGAGGACTGCAAACTGGCATGCACCCCATACACACATCACTGTGCTGGTCTTGATGGAGGGGTCGAAACCACTTTGCTCAACAATGTCCCCTGCTGCTTGGCACACACACACACAATAAAAAGAAGCCAAGTTGTTGCGGGCCTGGGGGGGCACTAGAAATTACTGGGGTGTGTGTGAATATTGCCTATAGGCTAGTCAACACCTGGTCAAAAGGATCCCTTTTGCAAGCCTAGAAATGATGGTTATGGTTGAGCTGGAAAATAAAAACAAAAAGCAAAATTAAGGCAAGAGAGGGGAATGGAAGATGGGCAAGTCTCCCAAGCTTGCATAGTTCCCTGGTCTTGACACCTAGCACCCAAGAGTGAAGAAGTGAGAGGAGGGGATGGGGAAAGGCCCCCCTTTCCCTGTGCACCAGCTGTTTCCACAACTGCTTGTTCGGAAAGGGAGAGGGGCTTGGGGCCAGTGGCTGATGGGACAAAAGCAAGGATTTCACCTCCGATTCAGATTTTGAGCTGAGCTGCTCACTGCTCTAAGGCAAGCTCCACATTCTTCACCAAGTCCAAGTGTGGAGAAGTTCACCAGCATCTTTAAGGGAAACGAGCTTGCCTATAACCACATCTTGGAGCAGAAGTAGCTGATTTGGTGCCCTCCAGACATTGTTTGACTCAACCACCATCAATGCCAGCCAGCGTGACAAGTGGCCAAGGGCGATGGGAATTATTAGTCTAACAGCATCTGAATGGCCATGGCTTCCCCCAAATCTGCCTTATGGTATCAAGGAGGTGAGTGTTAATGTTGAGACGGGGCAGGGAGAGAGAGAAATGTGAATGTGTACCATGAAATTAAGTGCTCAGGTGACTCTGAGCTGTTTAACACTTTTTGGTCAAGGGTCCCCACCTGGAAACATTACATTTGGGCAAGGCGGAGAAATACAAGACCCTCATCATTCATTACTCATGTGATGGGAGCACCAGGTGATTACTGGAGTCTTTGCACGTCTCTGGTCATGCTGTCCAGTCTCAGCTACAGAGGTCCACACATTGGTGTGATATTTTGCAGGTAGAAGCCTATGTGTGAATAGCTCTTCCCTCCAGATAGTCATGCCAATGTGTGGACATCTATAGGCAGCACCAGGCAGTCTTTGGGGGGCGCAATTATCCTCAAGGAGGGGTAATGATGCTCTGTGTCCATCATCCAAAATCTCTCTCTCAACATGTGAAAAATAAGCTGAAAGCTTCAACCCTGGATCATAACAGAGGCAAGGGAGGGGTGGGTGGGATGGCAGCAGCCTGACTTTCCTGCAGTCCAGGTCAAGGCAAGCAAAAGGGGGAAAGGACATAGAGCAGCTTCCAAACATTACCCCCAATTAATTTGTCCTCTCTCAACCTACCATCGACATTGTAGACCTTCAGACCCGCCATGTGCTTCTCTGCACGTGCTTTGGAAGCTGTTAACAACAGGGGGTTGTAGACAGAAAAGTCTCTGTGGTAATTTTCCAGAACGACTAAAGCAGCACGCTGGATACTGGAAAGAGAAATGGGAAGAAATATAAACTTCCATAGTCTCTCTGTATTTTGGCAAGCACAAACCCAAGGAAACCCTTCATTTTAACCCTAACTCACACAAAGACTTTCTGTTGTTAGATTACAATGCCCTTCATCCCTAGCCAGCAGGACCAGTGGTCAGGGATGATGGGAGCAAACTCTGGGGACCCAAGGTTGGCGAAAGCTGCCTAGGTCACCTCTGGTCTACTCATTATAGTGCCAGGAAAATAAAGCAGCTGTTTTTAACTTGTTTATGCATTGTGTCTGAAGAGCCACTATAGTGCCTCTCAATTTCTCACCACCAAACTGGTTCAGTGAAAGACTCAGCCTTTGTTTATTTCTATGTTTCTTTTTTTGTATGTGATGTATTAAAATGAAATAAAAATATTAAAAAAGAAAGAAAGAAAGACTCAGCCTTCCAAGAACCATATTCCACCCCCACCATGTAACTGCAATGCTGTTGAGTGTATTGAGGACCCATCTGTAACGCTCCTCATAAGCCTCCTCCAACACTGGTTTTTATCCAGCTTATTGTAATTAGAGGACAGGGCTGTGTTGTTGCTGCTGTTTTAAAACTTTTAAGAAATTCTCTCTCTACGTTAGTGGGAGGGTTTGGGTGGGGCTGCAGTAGCAGGGGAAATTTTCTTTTTAACCCTTCCCCCTACACATAAGTACACTACAATTTCCCTGATCAAATATTATGTGTTTCCCAGAGGAGCCACATATAGGTATCACGTATGATTTAAATCAGGGAAAGTGTTCAGGAGAAAGGTTAAACCAGGGGTCAGCAAACTTTTTCAGCAGGGGGCCGGTCCACTGTCCCTCAGACCTTGTGGGGGGCCGGACTATATTTTGAAAAAAGATGAAATCCTATGCCCCACAAATAACCCAGAGATGCATTTTAAATAAAATCACACATTCTACTCATGTAAAAACACACTGATTCCCGGACCGTCCGCGGGCCGGATTGAGAAGGCGATTGGGCTGGATCCGGCCCCCGGGCCTTACTTTGCCTACCCATGGGTTAAACCTTCCCTCTCCGAGCATCTCAACACCAACCTAATTTGGGGGCAGGGAGGGGGATTACTTGCAGCTGTTTTAAGCTATAATTACCGAGAGATCAAGTAATAATAATTTTATTATTATTGGTGGTCTTTCACCACCATCTATTTTGGCTCATAGTTCTCCCTTTTCCTTTATTTTAAAACTTCAGAGGCAAATCAAATCATTTGTTTATACAAGCATTGATAACAAAGCTTGGTAACACCATTTGCAACTTAATAAGTCCTAATATTTTTGTATTGGTTGCTTTATATTTTTATTGCATTGATACATATATTATCTATTCTATATTAATTACTATGAGAGCTTTCTCTCTAATAAAACTGTAAGGATATAATCATGCTGCAGTTTGCTTGGCCACAGACAGGTGATACTGGATGATAAAATAAGAGAATCCTAGAAGAGTAGATGTCAGGGGTTCAGGAGCAGAGGCAAGGGCAAGGGAGGAAACAGAGAGCGAGGGGGAGGAGGCAGAAGAAAAGATGAGTGATGACGACGACCCGAGATCTCCGAGTCTTTCCAGTGAATCAGAAGATTCACAGAAAGGAGCACCAGTGGCCAGGGCAAGGGGGGAGACTAGGGGGACACCCCAGGAAGATAGAGCCAGAGGGGACTCAGAGGAGAGCAGTTGGAAATCGGGACCAGCGTCACCGCCAGAGAGCAGGGAAGAGGAAGGGCGCCAGGGATCAAGCGCTGGCAGCTCACAACAGGAGGGAGGGCACGAGTCAGGAGTGGCCACACCTCCATCGGGGAGCGAAGAAACGGTTAGACGGAAGGTGGAAGGTTGGGCGCGTGCGCCAAGTTCAAATGCACAGGAAGGTGGCGCAGTAGGCAGCCTGGAAAGGGAGCCAGGTCCTAAAGCCCGGCGCAAGGAGACAGGAGGGTCCGGGGGGTCAGCGTCAGAAGAGTCCAGGAAGGAAGAGACCACGGGGGGCAGAGGGACCCAGAGAAGAACAGTCAGGCGGAAAAGGTGGGACAGGGCTAGGATACTAAGTTGGTGTACAGGGGGCGGAGACTCAGACGGAGCTTCGCCGGTCTAGCCATAAGACGTAGAGTTGCACGCAGCAGCTTGAGAATGGAAACTGTAACTCAATAAAGGACTTTTACAAGTGACCGCTGGCTAGCGTGATCCTCTGTGAGCTAGGATCTGGAAGCAGCTCTGACAGTAAGCTCCGTCTCACGTTGTGGGCATCTTCAGCCTCGCGGACAGAGGAAAAGGGGGGTGCCCACGACTCAGCTCACGAACGGCAGTCAGGATGACGGCCGAACAGCAGATAGGAGAACTCAGAGAAGCAGTGACACGGCTGAATGCCGAAATACTTGCATCCAGGAAGAGAGAGGAGGACGCAGCTGCCGCCTACAGGGATCTCCAGGTCAGGTTGGAAGTGCTTACGAAGCAAGGGCAACTGACACCCAAACCGGAGGGGATTGGGTTGGGGCGAAGAACAGGCGGTCTAGTCTCTCACTTCGATGGGAATTTACAACTGTACCCCAACTTTAAAGCAGATGTACAGTGTGCACTGCAACCGCTGGATAAAGACTTTAGAGATGAGCAAGAGAAGGTGGGATTTATCATGTCCCATTTGCATGGAGACGCTAAAGCATGGCTGCGCAATTTGTGGAGAGATAAGGATCCAGCGCTCCAAACCGCGGATGCCTTTATTAAAGCGATGGATGGCTGTTTTTTATCTAGCATTGACGTCGACCTTGCCCGGAGGGAGGTGCATGGGCTGAAGCAAGGGAGGGCCAGCGTAAGACAGTACCAAGCCCGCTTTTTTGCTTTAGTCAGTGCCTTGGAATGGGACAGAGATTCCGCTCCAGTCAGAGATCTCTTTTGGGAAGGCTTGAGCGGCCCAGTTAAAGACGAAATTGCCAGGGGGGAGAGACCCCGGACCACGCAGGAGGTCGTTCAGAGGGCGCTGGCGGTGGGAGTGCGGCTGGAGGAACGCCCATGGGGCAGGGACGAAGGACGTGGAGGGCGCGAACCAGCGAGAGGGTTTCCCTGCGTTCCCAGGGAAGCTGCGCGTGCGCAATCCACGCCTCCACCAGGAGGAGGAGCGGAACCGATGGAGGTGGGAGGTGCAAGGGCTCAGTCAGCAGCCAGAGCCCTAGCACCGGCAGCAGGGAAAGCGAAGCCTCCTAGAGGGAACAGGAAGTGTTACATATGTGAGGATCCACAGCATATGGCGAAAGAGTGTCCCCGGAGGCTCCACAAGCACACTGCAGCCTCAGCAATGGTAACTGCAGCAACGCAGCAAGCAGAACCACAGCAGGGAAACGACGGAGTCTGGCTGGAGGAAGAGGCACTGGGGCCCAGCCAGACGTGTCAGTGAAGCAGTCCCCAGAGATTTTACAGCCCATGGACCCCCTCCCGCCCAAACCAGTAGTGAGGCTCACCGCGTCGCTCCAGCTGCCCAATGGACTCACCATGGACGTGCCAATCACCATTGACTCAGGAAGCAATGCGGACTTTATAGGGCAGGACTTTGTCGATCGGCACGCTATACAGTTGCTGCCTGCCACGCTGCCCCTGCAGGTTGTCACGGTGGATGGCAGGGAGCTCCTAGGGGGGCAAGTGGTGAAGCAGACGCCTCCAATGGTGATGCGACTTGGGAATCACAGGGAAGTCATCAGCTTCAACGTCACTCAGCTATCGGACACGCCCATTGTATTGGGCATGAGTTGGCTGGACAAGCACAGCCCGACGCTGGCTTGGTACCAGAGGCAGCTGACCTTCGGCTCTTCCTTTTGCGCTGAACACTGCATCATGCCCCGGCAGGAAGGAGAGGAAGAGGAGTCACAGCTGCAGCTAGGCACGCTACAAGCGGTCCCCCACAAGTACGCAGAATTTTTGGAGGTTTTCTGCGAGAAGGAGGCAGACAGGCTACCCCCCCACAGACCATATGACTGCAAAATTGACCTGCTGCCAGGGGCGGCGCTGCCCAAAGGGAAGCTGTATTCCATGTCTGAGGACGAACTGCAGGAACTCAAAGAGTTCATAGATCATAATTTGGAGCGCGGTTTCATCCGAGAGTCCAAGGCAGCGGGGGGCAGTCCGGTATTCTTTGTTAAGAAGCGGGACACGCCCCAAAAAAGACTCGTAGTGGATTACAGAATTTTGAACAGTGTGACCAAGCCATCGGACTTCCCCATGCCCCGAATCGACGACCTCCTCGCAAAGGTACGGAAGGGCAGCGTGTTCACCAAGTTGGACCTGCGGGGGGCGTACAACCTCATTCGCATGCGGGAAGGAGATGAGTGGAAGACAGCCATGTTCACGCCCCTGGGCACCTATGAATATAGAGTTATGCCTTTTGGATTGCAAAATGGCTCCCACGTTTTTCAAGCTTTCATGCATCACGTGCTGGCGGGGCTCCTCTACAAGACGTGCGTCTGTTTCTTGGATGACATCCTGATCTTTTCGGAATCGCAGCAGGAGCATGACAGGCACGTCAAGGAAGTGCTGAGCAGGCTACAGCAGCATAGGCTTTACGCCAAGCTGGAGAAGTGCCAATTCGACGTGACGGAGGTGGATTTCCTGGGCTACAAGTTGTCTGACAAGGGGCTCGCCATGGACAGCGCCAAGGTTCGAGCAGTGTTGGATTGGAAAAGCCCACGCAACCGGAAGGAGGTCCAACGGTTTGTCGGCTTCGCGAACTTCTATCGCAAGTTTATCAAAGGCTTTGCTATGCAGACAGCGACCATCACGGACACGCTCAGCTCCAAGAAGAAGAAGTTCATCTGGACAGAGCAGGCGGAGCAGTCCTTTCAGGCACTCAAGCGTCTCTTCGCCTCGGAAGAGCAGCTGCTTCATGTCAACCCCAGCAGGCCGATGAGGGTGGAGACAGACGCTTCGGACAGAGCCGTGGGAGCAGTCCTGCTGCAGAAAGACCCGCAGGGGGTTTGGAGGCCGGGAGC